CAATAAATAAGAGCCAAGGACAGACGCTTGACAAAGTCGGAATCTATTTGCCAAAACCAGTATTTAGCCATGGACAGCTCTACGTGGGAGTTTCAAGGGTACGATCAGCAGCAGGTTTGCGAATGCTAATAGAAAATCCAGCAGAACTTCCAAACAACTATACAAGAAACATTGTGTTTGCAGAGACATTCAGTGATATCCTCACTGTCTAATAGGTCGGGGTGGGTTGTGCATCTGCTGTGCATTGCATGAAGGTAGTTTACAAAACTAAAAATGATTGTCTTTATCTAATCTACTATCAAAACTACAACCGTATTAGCTAACATTTCATGCCCTTTTCACAGATTTGTCTACCACTATTGGCGCAGCCACAACTTCAAACTGGTTTGGTTGTGTCTTCTTGGTCTGGATTGGAAGCCTAGAAGTTTAAACACATAAGTTAACCCTATTGTGATTCAAAACTTCCACAGTATGCCAATCTTTGTGTGCCGTTGCTTTTGATGTATAATACAGTTCGGCAGCTTCAGTTCAGCTTCATTCCACACTATGGTAATCTTTGTGTGCCGCTGCTGTGTCCTTCGTGTTTCGAACAAGGCAGACGCTTAAATCCGTTGTAGCGTTAATTGCTATGGACCAAACGTGTTTGGGCCTGGTCTACTTCTTAAATTGACGTATCTTTTTGCATTTTATGACAACAAGTGCATTTGAGCCCAGCCCAAATGGTGCTTTAGGGCTACAGATAAAGGCCCATTGTAGACCCGCCCAATATGAGCGCTCCAATCGAACCTCCCCTTTGAACCCTAACATCCCTCACCAACCATAGCAGCCGTCCACATCTTCATCAACCCTTCTCCGCCGCGTAAAGCCCCACCACTGAAGCTACCAGACAATCTTTTAAACCAAGGTAAATCCACGTCTCCCTCTTCTTCACCGCCTTTACATCTCGGAAATTACTGCTCATCGGTACTTCTGCTGTTTGGCCACAGACCCCACCTAACATGGAGAGCTTACCCGAAAAAAACCAGTCCACAGAGGGCGGTCACGTGGTCCCCACCGAAAACAAAGGTGCATGCCTTCCATTTCTGTAAATAAATCCTCCTGAGAATCTCGAATCCTCTGCAAAACAGATAAAATACCCATTTTTGTTTCCCTTTATTGTCTTACAGACCCGATTGAAACCTGCATGCCATTTAGGGGATTGCGTTTGGGCACCAACGTTCGCACAGTTATTGCTAGACCTGTGTTTACATGGCTTGAATTCCGAGAAGCACCCAAACTTAAAGATCTGACCATGCACATGATTTGGATGGATAAAAAGGTTTGTTACGATCCAATTACAAAATTGCACAGTCCTTTCATGAATGACTTTCGACAAAATGCGTTGTACAGTGTTACTAGCTCAAGTGTTGTTCTTATAGGAACGATTGATTGAGTCAATGGTTGGTGAAAGAGACATCACCGAGATATCTCGCAGAATAAAAATCGGGAAGCTTTATCAGTTTGATTCTGTTCTGGCTATACCAGCGAGGGAAAATCCGAGGATTGTTCCAGGAGAGTTAAGGTTGCACATAACTCCCGAACAAAACATTTCAAGGGTTGAAGAAGACCTAGAAGACCCGCGCTTCCCTATTGGCTGGGATATTGGGATAGTCGTTTCGATAGTGCCTCTTCAAACAGACACCATTGAGTACCATACAGGTACATTTGACTATCTCTGTTTACCATACCAAGATTAATCTAAACTTTAAAATGACAAACATTTTTGTTCACAACAGACATCACTATGTGCGTCAGGCGCCTGAGTGTTCCCACTACAGTTCGTGGTATTTTCAAAGAATTTCGCATCGTTGTACAGGATGTGAGGTACATTTTCCAAAATAATGTGTTCATTTGTGAATTATATGGATCCACTAACTTAATATTTGTACGCGTAAACAACGGCGTCAAGGCAATGGTTCATTATCAAGGATATGACATCTTAAGGTTCTTAGAAAATGCACCTGCGGCTGAAGCTCACTTGCCTCTCATTGTTACAATCAAATCTGTCATTCGAGTGCCACCTCTGCCCAACCAGAAATACAAGTACCATTTCAAATCCACTCCTGCCAGTTATCTGAAGATGGAATCCTACACACACTCGGCCAAGGAAATTATGCACATGTACACTTCTCTATTCACATATGCTGTTCATATCTCAATTAATTTGTATTGCCAATCAATTGAAACAAAACTAATGGTTTGTTGTATTTTTCCTACAATCCAGTTTCCTTCATAATCGCAAACAGGTTTACTACATGGATGCCAACACCGGTGTGAAAACAGGCTGCCTTCGACCAGGAGTTGAGAAGAAATCACTCGCTGACATCAAAGCTGTGCTTGGATCTGATGAGAGCCACCACAAGGTACGTTGGGAACTAAATATATCTACCTTGCCAACAGCTTGCACAGAAATTTTACATACGCACATATATTCAAACATAAATTGCCATTTGTGTTAGGTACTTTACCGTGCCAAGTTTTACATATCACAATTGAAGTTTCGAAGTAGCATTTGCCAAACAACTGAGCAATGGCCGAAGTAAGTTTTTGTTTCGATGCGAACACTTCTTATGCTTATTAATATATCAACAAATAAGCTAACCAAAACTCTCATTTATATCTATAACTAGCTTGCACTATCAGCTGGAAGTCAAGTGTGAACATGGAGCTGATGATATTGATGTCATACTGGACCATGAGGCCGCTCTCTCGATAATTGGAATGTCACCCAGCAAGTACAAAAAACTCGAAACGGAATCTGCCAAAGCATTGCTAATCAGAAAGTGTAGCAGAATGTTTGCAGGGGAGCTATACATCGGTTGCTCAGATTTAAAAAACAGAACTTCACCGGTCCCACCGCACATAAGAGTTGCAACACTTTGGCATACCTCAAGAATGGACAGGTGATCGTCTACATTGATGAGGGAAAAACTTGCTGGTGCACTTGATATGCCCCTAATATCCTCATTCTAGAACTAAGTTCCTGTTCTCCAACTTCCATGGAGACAAAAACAGTGTGCACGTTTGCTTATTTAGCTTGCAAAGACTTTTGGATTTGAACAAGATGATTTTGTACTGCCTTTGGCTTCTTTGCTTGACAAACTACCTCTCCATTACATTTTATGTGCACTTAGCTACAGTGCATCATCTATCTATATTATTGTTCTTGGTTTATCAACAATGATTATTGGTGTAGGTTGGGAAACCACACGGTTTAACGTCCCCATTTACACTGGTAACTTAAATCAACATACCCGCGGCAGAGCGCGGGCTAATTCCTAGTATATATAAAAAGAAGGGTAAATACAATTTAATATCCAAACCTTTCATTTTAAACAATATAATAGTCAAACCTTTTCGAAAACAATCTAATATCCAAATCGTCAACTTTCCGTCCGTTTGACCGTTGGTTGACACTTCAAAAAAGCTTTGTTTAGGGGAAAATGTCACAATACAACTTTATTTTCTTGTTTTGGCATTGCAGATGACTGAATATTTAGATATTCTATATCATCATGGTGGAGTCATGGACTTCTCGGGTTTGGAACCACGATATGTTGGTGGGTTTTCAGAGAAGATATCGATGAATATTGATGAAGCGCGTACTTCGAACTTTTTTGAAGTGTTAAGTAACAGTCAAATGAACGGAAAGTTGACGATTTGGATATTAGATTGTTTTCGAAAAGGTTTGGCTATTATATTGTTTAAAATGAAAGGTTTGGATATTAAATTGTATTTACCCTAAAAAGAACGTTGTGGGGATGTGGGTTTTCGTGCTGAAGTGAAGGTTTTCTTATGAGTTATGACCAGGGTCCATCGGCCCAGTTGAATCGAACGCCGTCGTTTGAAGAAGGGAGAGAGATTTCTACAAGGCGAAATGGCAAAACCCTAAACCCTTTCTACTCCATCTATAAAGACAGACCATCTGTCGAAAGACGTTCTCCCGCCGTCCCTCCCAAATTCCTACCCGCGGCGTTTCCCCTTGTGGCCGCTGATTGCCGCCGCTAGCCTTCCGGCCGCATCTGCCTCAGTTTCCAGCCTCCGTCCTTTTCTTCTTGAAGTGGTATTCTGCAAGTTGGATTATACGCTCTGCTCGATACAGACGCACCATCAGCACGAATTCAAAGGTACCTCATCACTCTCACAGTTTTCGAGTTAAGGGACTATGTAGTTTTCAATTCACTTCCTGGTCGTGCCAGTTTATCGGCTTAATCGGTTGGTACTCTCGCTTTCTTGTATTTGTTTTGCCTAACAAATGGCGGTCAAGTGTTCAGAGGCTAGGGTTTAGCTTCCCATTGTGCAAAATCTTTGAATTGAAGTTGTAGATGGGTTTATTCGAACTTATTTTCTGGAGTTAATGCAAAGGACCGCGGGTTTTGAATGGCTCATGGTTAGCTAGTTCGTATCCATTCTGACGTATTTACATTTCTTAGGGGGGGGGGGGGGGGGGGGGGGGATAGTTGCAGAATCATACTGCATCGTTGGAGTTGCTTGTTTAGTGAAAAGCTAATATCTTGTGCTGAGTATGAAGTATAGCTTAGAGTCAGAGAGGCACGGGTTTGTTTTGGGAGAAGCTAGTCTATATATAGAGTGAATTGGAATTCCTCAATGGTGTGCTCTCATGAATGGTTCTAATCCATCACTTTGGTTACCTGCTAAAGTCCCTTGCTTTAAGAATATCTCTCTCTCTTTAGTATACTTACTACATGAACAGTTGTAAGGAAAGTAATCCCTTTTGAACCATCATTGTTGCTTTGAGTCATGAATTAATCAAATATGGGTATGCATGGTTTCTCTAAACAATACTAGTTCAGTTCTGATTTCAGTTCTGGATTTTTTTATTTATTACATGAGGACTCTCTTTGCTTGTAACTAGTTCTGGGGAAATGCTGCTAATAATTGTTCACTTGTTCAAGAAGTCTAAAATTGAAGTTTTCATGTTTGTCATATAATAGGTTCACATGGGCACACCTAAAGTAGAATTCGATGCGGAGGATGTGGAGCCAATGGAAGATGAAGTTGATGGGGAATTCACTGATTCCGATTCCGACTCAGGGGAGGAAGATATCCAAAAACTGACTAATCCCTCTAAGGATGCAGTCTACAACCGAGATGGTATGAACGATAAGCTTCAAGAAATCAGCTGGCCAGAGAACTTGGGTTGGTTGCATAAACTCTCCCTTGACATCAATCAAGAGCAAGATGTAGATGTGAACGATGACCTGGCACGTGAGATGGCATTCTACACACAGGCATTGGAAGGGACGAGGAGGGCATTCGAGAAGTTTGAAACAATGGGACTTCCCTTTCTAAGGCCTCCTGACTACTATGCGGAGATGGTGAAGTCAGATACCCACATGCAGAAAGTGAAGAGCCGTCTCTTGGCTGAGAAGAGGAACATGGAGGAAGCAGAAGAGAGAAGGAAAGCTAGGGAGTCCAAGAAGCTATCTAAAGAGGTTCAAGCCCAGAAGCAGAAGGAGAGAGCTACACAGAAGAAATCTGAGATTGAGGCTGTCAAGAAGTGGAGGAAGCAGAGACAGCAAAACGGGTTTCCTGCTCCTGGTGGGAAAAAGAATGGCGACGAGATTGATTTGGACTTTGGAGATGGTGTGAAGCCGTTTGCCAAGTCCAACAAGCAAAGACCTGGGGTATCTCCAGGAGACAGGTCTGGTGGCAAGGGAAGAATGAAATCATGGAAGGGCACCGGTAAACCGGATAAGAAAATAGTGGAGAGGGACAGGAAGGACTCGAAGTTTGGGTATGGAGGAAGGAAAGGCATGAAGAAGCAGAACACTGCCGATACCACTGATGATTTCAGGGGGTTCAGGAAAACAGGTGGCGACGGCGGGAATAAGAGGAGAAGGAAGCAGTAAGATGTAGAAACTATGTAACAGCAAGAATTTTCAATGTTCAAATTTTGTCGTCTTAAATGGCATGCTTGTCTGTCGTAGAATTGTACTGAAATTTTGGATACCCTTATGATTCAGTTTCTTCTACAGCTAAATGAATGATTCTAGTGCCTTTTGATTGTGTGTCATAAGTGCTCTGTTTTGGCATTGTTGGTGGCCTGATCTCTCTGGTTCTGAACTGTAGACAGCACAAAGTCTGGATTTTTTTTGCAGCTGCAATGTGTTGTTCCATCAACTACTTCTCTTTGGATGCATGTTCTCTGAACTTGGGATCATTTCCCCTGCTGTGAAGAGGAATAAAACAAAGGGTGGGAAAATGGACGAAGTCCACAAGAATAATGGATCAAGAAGTTCTTTCCTCAGTAACAATGATTACCGTACAGTACATCAAATGATTAAATGTTCTCCGGCTTGACGGACCTTAGGTATATACTTTAGTCTCTTAATACAGCTTGCCAAGGTCCTAGCAATTGACCTCTTTCTCCATTTTTAGTTCTTTACCATGACCTAATTTCTTGTTGAATTGATCTCTATTATTGTCTTTGGCTTGTCTGTGACCCTTGAACGAGCTAACAAGATCAAACCTTTTTCACACTCTGTTTGAGATCTGTTGCAGAAGTCTGGAATTTCTCGGCGGACGGTCGTCAGAACTCGATCACTTAGAACATTTGATATGGCTATCGCTAGATTACAAATCTATTCATTAAATTTACCGAAAATTATATGGTCCAATGAAATTTCGAGAGTGAAACTGTGTCACCAAACCCTTTTCAGGTTTTAACATTTTGCAGCATCGATCATCAACCACTATAATAATGGCTAATTAGAAGAATCTGTGACGGTTCTTAGTGTTTGGTATAACGAACATTTGTTTAATTATTATTGTTTTAATAATTGGTGATAAATCTGTGTTCGATTATAAAATTGTAAAAACAGAGACCCTCAAAGTCCACAGTTGTCAAGTAGACACATCATCAGTTTGATCATAAACCAAGCATTGAGTAAAGATCCAATTTTTTTATTATATAAAAGTCTGTTAATTAATCGTTTTCTTAATCCACTTTCAAGCTTTCACACCACACCTCCATTAACTAACTTCCGCAGCAAAAAAGCTTCATCCCAACATTTTCCCCTTCCATTTATATATTACCCTGCCTATCAATTTCAAACCCCCACCATCCATTCTTCGTTTCTTCCCCAATCTCCAACTGGGTTTAAGCGAAAAATGGTGGCTTTGACATTCTTGTCACTGGAGCTGATAACTCAGGCAGCTTCGAGCTCAGTGGTGGTCTTCTTCTTCTGCAATGTGATCATCGTCACCATCCTCGTCGCCTCGAGGCCTCCTCCGCCGGCGGCGAGCGGAATTCGCCACGTTTCGGTGTCGGGGAGCCCGTACGTGGCCATTTATCAGCAGGAGGAGACTGTTATAGGTGGATACACACATACTCTGCATTCCAATGACGAAAACAGAGCATCGGAATCGAAGTTGAAATCGGCAATGAATACCCACCAAGAAGAAGAAGAAGTGGAGGAAAAGGAAGTGGCAGAAGAAGAAGAAGGGGATTGCAATGGTGGCGATGATGATGTGTATGTGGAGGAAGAGGATGACGAACTGAGGAGGAGAGTTGAAGCATTCATAGAGAAGACTAACAAAGAATGGAGGGCAGAGTTGCTTAGGACGTCACAATCGCGGCTGATTGCTGCTCGCTGATTTGATTGTGTTGCACCGAAAATGTAAAATGGGTGATGGGTGTGGAAAGCCGCAAGGAACAGAGTTTTTTTTAGTTGTTCCTCATGGAAATTCAGAAGCCATGTCCAGAAATATTATGGTGGCTGGCTCCTTTATCTTTCTTTTCTCCCCTAGCTTTTCGATTTTGAATATAGTTACTGGCTGTAACTTTATCAATAAATTTACTGGTGATTCCCTCCAAATATTTTTCGTTCTTGTTCCTTCTCTAATTCTTTTTACTTCATACATAGGTATTGAACTCCGGACTTACACTAGAAGTAGAAGTGTGGTCTGATGTGTATTCCAGTAACTTTGTTTGCATGTTACAGAAAATGGTTGTATCTAGGGTTATTCTAGAGCCCGAATTTTGTTATTTGAGAGGGCATGAATTATTTAGTACGAGAGAAAAAAGAGAGAAACACTTCCAATATTTTTTGAAATTACACAAAATATCATGTAAATTAGAAATTTCTAGTTTTTAATGTGTTGTATTCAAAACAAATGGTAGGTTACAATTAGTTATGTTTCTTGACTGTTTTCAATTATGTAACTTTTCTGTATCCGACAGTTTTCTCGTTAATATGAAAGATCTTGTGATAAAAAAAATTTATTCAAAACGAATGGGTATATTATGAAGAGAAAATTTATCATGCATTTCAATTTGTAGCATATCTTTTCAATATTTTCATAACTAGAAAATGAATGTCTATCTATTTAGTGGTTGAAAATAATTAAATAATTATATACACAAAAGAACCTTTGAAAAGAAAATTTTAAAAATTGAACAACTTAACCGACCTTATTTGAAAATAAATGGTTTGTAAAAAAAAATATCAAAATAAAAAATTTAAATTTGATTCTATGTTGCCGTCGTTCGTCATAGTGTTTGCTGCTCGTTGGGCCTAAATTGTTCGTGACTCAAACATACATGATCGGTCGATACGAGATCCCCTCTTGTGTCTTTACGTTCCTCTTGGGGGCACAATTTTATTGCCGTCTGTGTTACTAGCTGGGTTGCACTCTCCGTTTCTGCGATAGTAGATGATTCTTTTATTAGTTGCACTTGAGTTTTATTAGTTTCTTTATTTCAAGTGAGAGTCCTTTTTTTTATAATTATTTTGGAGGGTGTAGTGGAAGTTGGGGGTGTTCTTTCTTTTCTATCATTGTTTTCTATTTGACATGACACATCATCAATTTGATTGCAAATTAAGCCTTACAAGAAGAACCCAATAAACAAACAAATAAGGAGGGAAAATTACAAAACAAAGTCGTTAATTAATCATTTTTTTGTTCGTCATCCACTTTCAACTTTCTAGGCTTCCACACCACACTTCTCCTGCAAAAAGCTTCCTTACCACTCTTCTTCCTCCCATTTAAATGCCCCAAGCTTTCGATTTTCATTCCTCACCATCCCAACAGTCTCTCTCTCTTTCTATCTCAAATTCTCAATTGGGTTTTCTCTTCCACTGCTGGAGAAGGAGGGGAAAAAAATAAAGGGAATATAAAAAAAGGAAACAAAAATGGCTGCGTTGACTTTCTTCTCACTGGAGCTGATAACAGAGGCGGCTTCGAATTCGACGCTGGCCTTCTTCTTCTGCAATCTGATCATCGTCACCATCCTCGTCGCCTCGAAACCTCCCCCCGGCGGCGGAAGCGGAATTCGCCACGTGTCAATGCCGGAAACCTCGTACGTCACCGTCAGTCGGCAGGAGGAGAAGGTCGTCGTCGTCGTCGGCCGTGCTCTGCCGCCGAGCGATGAAAACAGAGCATCGCCGCCGTCGGACACTAATGTCGAGATGGTGATCAGTATCCACCAAGAAGAAGAATGAGAAGAAGAATTTGATGACAAATGCGGCAGCAAAGTGAAGAATGGATGTGGAGGAGACTGTACTGGTGACCGTGATGAAATTGGGGAGGAAGAAGAAGAAGAAGATGATGACGAATTGAGAAGGAGATTCGAAGAGTTTATAGAGAAGACTAACAAGGAATGGAGGGCAGAATTGATCAGAACATCGCGGCAGCAGTAGACAAAAAGATACAATCTGGGTCTTCTGGCTCGTTGATTGCTTGGAGAAATTCAGTCATTGGAGTCAAGAACAGAATAATTTTTTGGTTGTTAAGAGGAAAATTCAGAAGGGTCATTGTCCAGAAAAATCTCGGTGGCTCCCTTCAAAATTATTTCTCTGTTTTTTTCTTCTCCCTCCAAACTTGTGAAGAAAAGTCAATTTTGAATGTTTACTGTCTGTAAATTTCCAATAATCAACCAGGCTATTGCACATTTGTATTAGACAAACTACAATGTAATTGTTAGGAAGGAAAACGAGCTAGAACAGAACCAGTAACTTAATATTGCGACATTCGTTACGCAATAAACTATATATTAAGTTAGATAATATTCTTACAATTATCGAACAGAGCAGATCAATCCATTTTAACATGTTATTTGCAAAAAATAAATACGGCGGTATTTCTCGCCCCATTAGTACTAGAAGGCCCATTTAATTTTATACATCCATCTTCCTGAAATGAAAAAAAGTGTCAAATGCTATGGTACAGAGAAGTGCAGCGAATGAGGGCCAGAATTGAAAAGGGGTGGAGGGATTAATTAATGACAGGGAAAAGATGTTATTTGGAGGATTAGCACGCGTGATTAAAAGGGGAGCACGAAGAAGATTCTTCAATCACATGGATTATCCATAACCAAAAGCGTAATTAAGGGTACTAATAACAGAGTGGGGTGGACACCACACCACTGACTGCAGCGTGGCTGCTCTGTTTTCAGAACTTTTTAGTCGTTAAATCTCTACTTTATGCCCAAAAAAAAAAGAGAAACCCAGAAAGAGAGGGATTGTTAGGATTTGTGTGCTCTTATCTTATCCAGTGCTGTAAAGACCGGGATGCCAATTCTGCAATTTGGCCATTTGGAGTCAGCAATGTGGGAAGAAGGAGACGAAGATGCCTTCTGCTTCCCGAAAGTATGGATTAACAAGTTTGTGTGAAGCGGAGCTTTGTCATCACAAGTTGTCCACGTTGGTAGAGAGGACACATTTTTTTTCTGTCTCCAGACAATCCTCGTTCTGTGAAGAGAACTTTAAGGAAATATAGGAAATATAGGAACTTTAAGGAAATATAGGAAAGAACGATTTGATCATCGGATTCCGTCGTCGTTTCTATGCATCGTAAATTCGTAATGTATCATTGACCACCTCAACAATACAACGATGAAAATTAACAGCGATAAGACAAGGACGTATTAGGGCGGATTTGGTGCTTTTAGTTGTCTCGATACCGAGTTAGTCGATAACCCGATTACCCATGTTACATGGACAATTTTGACATTTTCGTTGTTTTGTAAGTCCCAACAAATTCATTGACCGATCTCGGCGACCAAATGGGTACTTAACCTAAGCCATCAAGCTTTGGTGAGCTTCATTTCATGTTCATCCATACCAACATAAATTATCATTCATAACCCATCAGATAAAAAAAACAGCTCCAATGGTTAAGTTACAGCAAGAACTTTAATCAGACCAGAAGAGTTCACACACCACAAGTAGATTCAATACAAACTCCCTCGTCCTCTCCCTTGAAATTGCTACAACGACATAAAGGAAAAGGATAACAACACTACAAAATAACAGTAATACAGCCCACAAAGAGGCCAAACCTTTTATCCTAAACGCTTCTACCTTGAGTCTTGAAAACCCTAAGAGCTCCTAAACAGAACACAACAAAAGAGTACACTTGCCAGGTTAAAAATCTCTTACGCCAGGCGATTGCTGTAAAAGCCCTCGGTTACTGCTGCTCTCTTTGCGGTGCGACTAGTGAAGATACAACATAAGCCCCACATGTAGTAAGTGTCAAAGGTGTAGTAACTTGATCAGCAAGATACCTCACAGTGTGTTGGTGACTGTTCATGTTCATGACCTCTAGAGTCGTCCTCGTCTTCCTCGTCATCAACCGTGGAGGAACTCCGGTTGTCAAGAGATGGCGGGTTCCTACTAAACATATGGACGTCAGGGTTGTTAAACGAATGCTGGTTGGTGTTGTCTCCGTGGTGGAATGACGACGAGGGAGGGCTTATGACTGGTTTCATTGCAGCATACGCCCCCTTTAGATCTGCGGCTGTCATAACAGTGACCGGAGGATGTGTAGTCACCATTGGTGGTGGTGGAGGAAGTGGTGGTTCAGTTCTCTGCCTCTTCTGCTTCTGCTCCATCTGATGACCAGGTGTAAAGCTGCCGACAACTACCTAATGATGCATCCGAAACAAGCAGTTAGGGAGCGAGCAAGAAGTCCAAAGAGCAGACTTTTGAGAGGGCCAGAGGAAGAATGATCATACCTGCACAGGACCAGCAGCTACCAAAAGACCAGCAAGACCTCCACCAACAACTCGACCGTCAGGGCCTGCTAATGACACGCTCATTCCACCTGATCTACTCTTTTGTCCTCCGGTCTCAGTAAGCATGAAGGACCCGGATAAGGAGAGTATCTCGAAACGGCCCTGAAAGCACACAGTGATGGTGGTGACTGATGGTTAGAAGAACTTCTGATACGGTTGCAGCACGTAACTGGATACTGGAACCTAAGAAGCAAGGTCAAAAACAGTAAAGAAGCTGCACCTCGTATGTCAGTGTGCCACCCGAAGAAGTAGGCTGGCGAAGAGTGACATTTGAGATTGTGCCATTTGCAGAAAGAATGCATATGGCTCGAGCACCTTGTTGAGAAAAGGACATAACCTTCATTGTGACATCCTGTTACCAAAAACAAAAACTCACTAAGAAACCATTTCTCACAGCGTCCAGATTCACTTGGTATTTAATTTCAGGAAATACCTCGCCAGCATTGACATTAAGCACATGGGGAGTAAAATTCGCGCCGACAGAGTAAGCAACTCCATCCCCTGCAAATGGTATTGCAGCATTAGATCATGGTTCTACAGTTGCAAATCACATCCATCAAGAACATTTTACCATGGTAAAGAAGCAGTGCAGAATGTGCAGTAAAGATAGAAATTTTGAACTTGAGAAAACCCTACAGAAAAGGATTTGGTTACAGACAAGCTTCCTAATATTAGTAAGAATCTTCCAAACAGATTGGAATGAGACAAAACTGTACTTCGTTGACTGGATCCCATGGCATGACGTGATTTGTAGAATCCTATGATTCTCCTGCTGCAGACACTTGGCCAGCAAAACTATGGGTTGCTTGCTGGCTGGCTGGCAGTTAACTATCACCCAACTGGATTTGCAAAGAAATGAAAGCATCCCATCATCTAAAGAGACCATTTGCTGCCATAGAACAGAATTCTGAGCTCATGATTGGATCATTACTATTCCTTTTACCAACATTTTAAAATTCAAAAGTAGCTTAGCTTAAGACAGATCTGGGAACAGTTCTAACCACCAGACTTTGTTCCTAAATCCAGATTAACAGCTTTAAACTATCTTCCCTGAGACAACTAACTTAGAGAGAAATTCCAAGTAGAGGAAAAGAAAGATTCCAATCCACTTTACTTTTACAGTATCTATAATCAGTCACCAGTTAGCTTCTCCCCCATTTCATTTCTCCACCATTAATGTCAGAAGGCGAATTTGGTCCCACTCAGGCCAAAGATCAATTTGTGAGACCCCATCTCAGATATTTACCCTATTACAACAACAACCCAACCCACTGGTAAAAGATCGATTAGAAACTCATGATCTCCGATGTAACAGTGAAAAGTTCAAGACTTTAGGAAAACCCTTGAGAGCGAGCTAGCTAGAGAATTAGAATCACAAATATTTCTTCTTCTTCTTTAGGCTTTTTTCCTTTTTTACCTGGGCTCTCGTGCTCGGTTCTGTGCTGCTGCTTCTGCTTCTTGACCGAGTCAATCGCCCGGCCTCTGCCTCTTTTCCAAGACGTCGACGGCGAGGAGAAATCTCCTCCGGTGAGAGGGATGGACGCTGATATCGGCATAGGCGACAATGTCGGGTTCAGACTTCCGTCGGGTCCGTACTTTCTCGGCCTTCCCCTTTTCTTCTTCACCAACGTGCCGCCGCTCCCCGGCGGAGAACTCGCCGGTGGTGGTGGGCTGCTGAACTGGGTCGAGTTATTTTGAACTGGGTTCGGGTTGATTGAAGCTGAATTCGGGTTAGGGTTCGAAATTTCAGCTCTAGGAGCAACCCTGTAGCTCTCCGGAGCCTCATCGCCCCTAACCGTTACACCTGAAGAATAAATCATTCCTTGTGTTGCCGCCTCCATTTACACACAAAACACTAAACCCCACCCACCGAAAAAAGACAAAACCCTTGGAGCTAAAGATCGAAACTTTTTTTCGAAACTGAAGGAGTACAGGGGAAATGGCTACTTCAGTTTCAGAAAACGAATTAACAGAGGGAGAAAAAGGAAACCCAGAAAGCTATAGGCTTGAAACTCTCAAAGAAGGATGAAGAAGATGAAAAAACAGTACAAAAAGGAAGACTTTACAACAGTAACTGACTTCTGAGAACTCAAGGCTTCGCCATTGCAGGAGGAAGGGATGAACAGAGCTTGCTCCAGAGTGCTGTCTGCTGCTTTACCCTCTCCACCTCAAGGTGAAAATTAATCACAAAAAATTACAGAGAAAATTGTAGCAAATTTTACTAGTGTTCTTCTGGAATTTCTGCAATGGAAATGGAATTTAGGGTTTTCCAGGGAAAAGCAAAGAGAAATAAATAAAGTAGGGAGGAAAAAATTAGGAGGGAGAATTAAAAAAATTAAAATTGGAGGAAATATTAAAAAGGTAAAGGACTACTAAAAAGGGATGATTTAATATTGGAATGTGGGAGGTGAAATTTAATTATTAATAAGATTTTTTTTTAATTGCAAAATTCAAAGTATAGATTTTGGTTAATAAAATGGTTTCAGGTCCGCCTTGGAAATTTAATAACGTCTTTGGTCTAATAATAAATTGGGGCAGGCAAATAGAATTAAAAAGATATTGATTTATTACTGGAATTAGTAAAATATTTATTTAGGGAAAAGAAAAAAGCTATTTTCCATTTTTGAAAATTTTCTATTTAATAAATTTTATTATTATAAAAGCAAAGCTGTAAAGCAATCCATGCCAATTTTCCAACCACTGACATCTTCTTTGTCTTTTCAGGTAAACTTGAAAGTTTGACTATAAACTTAATTACCCCTGTAATTCTATAAAATCTACTGCTAATGCCACTCCCTGCACATCCCTAATCACATTAGGGTTTCTGAATTATTTATATTATCAGTTTATCACATTATTGTTTTATGACGATAAAGATGGGAAAATAAATTTCTCAACTAATTTGGTTATAATGGTACAACAGCTATTTACTAGTTTGCTTCAATTGTCCAGCAAAGGGTTTCTCAAAGTGGTTGGAAAGTGATCAGGCAGGCCCTAAGAAAGGCAAAGTTTGGAAGGAAAGAATGCAGATGGGTCTGGGAAGTAAAAGTGTGCTGCTTGTCTAACTGAGCATTTATTGTTATTGACAAAATGAAACGAACAGTTTTGATCCCAAAAAAAAAAAAAAAGGAACAGCAACTGCCAACACTTCCTCAACAGCACAATCTTTTGCTGCCCATGAAGTTTCTTATGTTCCAGGAAACCACCATCAAATATCAGAACAATCGAGCTAGTATGTTGATGCAATTGGATCGCCCAACCTTGTGTTCCCAGCCATTCGATTCGGCGGCATAAGCCAAACTCTAACAAGCTCATCATCAAAGAAGATCAGTAAAGCATCTATGCACGATTCAACAGCTATGTACGTAAAGGAGGCCATTCAATAATGTCACCGCGCTTTAATCCCCCCTGTGTGCACAGCACAGCCAAAATCTGGTAAAACAAATCAGCTGAAGATCAGTGATCAGTTGGTCAAAGATGGTCAGCAAACAAAGAAAGACAGTAGGTCATCTGCAGCAGGAAATGGAGCAGCAGATTCAACAAAATAAAGAATGGAACAGCAGATACCTGGGTAAGAATGACAGGCAGAAACTAAAAGACCCTTTGGTACTTTCCTGACATAATATAAAATTTTGAGGATTTTTTTTATTTAAGTCTAAGGTGTAAAGGACAAGCAAAGTATAGCCCCTAACATGCTAGGCTGCTTGAGCAAGAGATTTCTCATCGGCTCTTCATCCTGCCAAAATTTACCAAAAAATTAGCAGACAGAGATCCCAAAACAATTCTTTCTTGAAAGATAAAGCAACAATGGTGAATCTATCATTCTATTGGGACTGCAGAACAAACATGTTCTCATTTATTGTGAATTCTTCGTGTATACAAAATGCAGAGGCCCCTGTAAGGAGGGAACACTAGCCACAACAATGCTCTATCTGGTACATCAGCTGGATTCTGATTAAGACTTCCCCTTTTTCTATGGACAACAAACAAAACAACAAATGAGGTAACACAAGAAAACGGAGGTGAAGGGAGTCTAGGCTACAAAACCTCATTTTCTACAATACAAGTCAAGTCCCGCTGGTTAACTGGCTTCTTCCCATTTCAAGTGGGAACACCTCCTCAAGATGAGGAGCTCCTTTTGCCTTCGTATTCTCTCCTTATAATCTCGAGCACGAGTTCATTCCACGTATCGATTGGACCAGGCATGCACCAGTGCAAGCAATCCTGCATTCGAGTTCGAGGTTTTCCATCGGGGCTAAGAGTCCGGAATGGCCCCGGATGCCCATCATACCGATAACTGAACACTTCAGTAATATCCATCATCACAAACTTTGATTTATTCGACTTTTTCTGGATGCCACGATGAAACCCTGTCATCTGTTTCTCGTGCATTATGTCGGTGTAATCGTTCTTCACCAGCTGTTCAGGCTCCAGAGGCCTCGTCCCAGTGCAGGAGCCACCGCTGTTCCAGGCCCCACCTTCGTAGTGGTCGGGTGAATATGTCCGCAGGATGGTCAACCCAGTGAAATTTGGGTGCGTGGCCATTGACGCCACAATGGTCTCTACAGATACCCCGAAAGCTTCGATGTTGTTGATTTTGGCTTCCCGAGACTTGTCCGGCCACCACAGCTGTCCTCCCACGATTTCGTTGTTCAACACATATACGGATCGCTTGGCGAACCAGTGACCCGAGGAGAGAACGACAACATCGAAGGTTGGGACGAATTCCATGAAGTTCTCATCTGGAGAGTCGAGGTGGAGCTTTGTGACGCCCTCCGGAGCAAAGTCTATGGCTTCTGGCGTTTGATGGACGAGCCAGGAGGACCACACTCGGACAATCGTGGTAGACGTCGATCTGAAGTAGAATCGGTGTATTCTTTTGTTCCCTCTTTCATTTGGAACTTCCACCTAGAGACGTAAATATAATGTCAGATTCCAGTCGCTGCGAATAGGCAGATGGCGAGAAAGAAAGTTTACTTGCCTGCCAGAGAAGACAGAGCAATGATTCCATTTGGTTTCGAGCTACTGAATCGCCAATGAAAGCTAGAGTTTTTCCTCTCATCAGTTCAAGGAACTTTTTGGCATCAAAGCGAGGGAGTTCACATTGTGATGGTTTCCAACGGTAACTCTCGTACTCCCTATCAGGTCTTCCATTTCCTTGGCAGTTCTGCATCAGTGATATGACTGGGCAGCTACTGTTCGTGTACAAGGGCCCACGTGGATCATAGAACCAAGTTCCCTTGAACAGATCACATCCTGCAGGTCAACAGATTTTGAAGAGATTATGAGCAAAATGAAAATAAAGGCACCAGATCAGCATGAAGTTAGGCCAATGGGAAAAGTCCTCATGTTTTCTTCTTTTGGTTTCATTTATCAGAATCAAAGTATCAGTGCTCAAGAGCCTCAAACAGCTCACTCACAATGGATAACAGTAAAGCAAAGAACCAAATGTAAACAGTGTTAGAAACCTGGATTTTTGTTTTTTTATTAGTGAATTTTTGGATTATTTTGCTTTTTGGACTATTTTGTTGGCTTATTTATATTTTGGTACTTTGTATACATTTTGGGGAGTTTTGGGAGTTATTTGAGACTTAGTAATCCCTAACCAAATCCTCAATTCTACAGCTATCCCCAATTGTGGAACCCCAGATGGAGACACTTAGATCCACAGTTCTTACACAGAGACCGGATAGATACATTAATGAAAATTATGGAAAAGGAAAACTTTTCTATGAAGCTCAACCAAAAAGAGAAAAATAGTAATGTTTCAAATCCAGGCAAAATAGCAATTCTAACATCTAAATAACAGATTCATCCCTGAATGCAGGCATTATCACTTCAAGAAATGACATCTTTAAGAAAAGTTGTTCAGCTGATAGTATGAGGCTTTATATAAAGATAGCAATGTGCAACCCCAAAAAGAAGTATCATCTAGTATAATAATCCAATTCATATCTCGGCCGCTCAACCATCATATGACATGCACATAACATGGAGTTGAAAAGATATTCAGATTATGCGACTGGAGAGAGGTGTACCTGAATCATCTGAACCAGTCGTTGTATTAACCTCTTGGCTAGCTGCATCGGATGTTTCTCCCCTACTCTTCAATTTGGGATCTGGACCAGATGGGACAGAGCTAGCCTCTGCAACCTTTGCACCTTTGGTTACTTCTTCATTTACACTATCAGGATTCTTGATACCTAAATCCTTCACATCAGCGAGACGATCGTTCTTCTGTTTCATTTCCTTATTACCAGCTGGAACTTGCACATGACCATCTTTGTTCATGGAATCCTCTCTTGGTTCTTTATTACTATTTGGAACTTCCACATTTGACTCCGAACCAGATGGCAAAGAATACCTCACACCCTCGCTTATACTACCATTAACACCGCTCAAACTCGTGGTAAAATTAAACCCAGATGGCTGGCTCTTGTTATCACCAGAGTCTACATTACTATAACTATCTATTTGATCCTGTGGCATCACTGGAGGAAGAATCACTTTTGGTGTATCAAGCTTGTAAAAGTATCCCTGAACTGTACTAGATAACGGATTCGAGACCAAAAGCAATGAAGCGAGGAACAAAAACACAGCAAGCCCCGCCCCTGATGCAGTAATGTAAGCAAGGGATTGTGGGAATGCAGCAGAAGCTGCCATGGTGACAGAGCCTTTCGGCCAACCCGAAGTCATTGTTGCATTTGCTAATCCAGAAGAAAACTTGCGCAAATGGGGAAAGAAAAATCCCCAATTCGGTTGCTTCTGAAATGGACCACCGAACAACAAACCAGAAAACCGTTCGACCACGTTTATATTTAATTGGATCCAAGCTTCCAACTTTTCTCGATTAATGAACACAAGAGATAAAAAACTGTGTCCCCTCTCGTCCTGGCCCTGAAAAGGAAAGAAAAATTACACGCTCATTTAGTGAAATGATGATCTAGAAGAGAGTAAATTCAACTCCTAGTACTTGGCGTAAAAGCAAAAACCAAGTACAAGCTCAAAAGAGGAATCTGCAAAATTGATCATTCCCAGACCAGTAACAGAAAACGCCATTTCCTGGGTCTGAAACCCCTAGACTACTATGGCGGGGAAAGGAAAAGAAGTTATTTACATGGAAATTCACGAATTGGGGGGTCGAAATTCTTCACCTAGGAATCGGGTAAACTGCGGATGTGGATTTGCATATACGGTGGCTTCCATGCGTCGGCCGGCGAGCTTCGAAGACGGAAACCGAGAGACTTCTGTCTTGGATCGGGGGGAAGGAGAGAGAGGTTTTAACGGAACTCTGCGAGAAGCTGTGGGAGAGACGATAAATGGCGGCCATCCTGCCGAGTTTTCCCGATCTTGTGCTCGTTTTCAAAATTTAAGAGCCGGACGCCTTCGTCTTGAACTCTTGATTTGATGCGTCGGGGAATTGTTTAAAAAATGGAGATATAATAAGAGGCCTCTCTTCTTTTTCACAGGAGAGTGAGAGAGAGCGACTCCGTGGTATGGTATCGAGGTGGCGTAGTTAAGTGGAAAGAGGAGGATTCCAATCTAAATATGGTGCTAAGAGGGGTTTTTTTTTTTTTTTTTTTGTCGGGAGCAACTTATAAGGTTGGATGGTTGGCCATGTTGCCGAGCCGCGATCGGACGGTGGAGGAGGAGTGGTGCCGGTGTGTGAGGAGAGAAGAGCCGAGGGACACCGCTGGTCCAAGCCGAGGTGGTTTTGAACGGAAAAGCGGGGCCCTAGACAAAAAATTCCAAAAAACCCAAATCCCTCTTCTCTAACCTCACTTCGTCGGTTCCATTATTCTCTCGCTTCAAAAGTCGACAAACTTTCTCTCCCGCTTCCTCTCCCCTTGCTCTCACGATATCGACGACGATGACGAGTGCTGTGAGGAACAGGTGCACTCGAGCGAAGGTGTGATAGACAGAATCTTGTCCCATAGCCCGCGCAACTTGGTTTAGAATGCCGGGACAAACACTTTCTCTTGCTTAAGTGAGTTTATTGTCCGATTGAGCTCATATAAACGCGTCGCACTTCACTGACCGAAACAAAATTATAAGTCGACCCATATTTCCCACTTTGTGGTTGCGAACCACACACTGCTAAGAACCTACTTTGTCATGGAGCTTTTTTGCCAACCCTTGACCATATCGTTGCATGCATTGCTAAAATGCCTCGGCTTCTACCGGAGATTGTGCCGGAGGAAGGCTTCCATCCATGAAACAAAGCTTATTCTTTGCGATGAGGGAATTGGTGAAATCAACTACCCATTCACCAAAATTGACGTCATTGAGTAACTCGCTCACATATAGATGACTGGGGTTGTCAGACTGATGTAGAAGGAGATGCAACGGCAGTGTCATCGATGAGCATTGCGAACTTCGACTCTAACTTTGAAGTCTTGGATTGCTCGTTGTTGGACATGATGAAAAGCTAGGTCAGATCAAACCAGCTTTGATACTATGTAAAATACGATAATAAGATTGAAAGAAGATGAACATGACATGAGATTTATGTGGTTTCCCTGCACATTGTGAACGAGACTAGTCCACTGAGATCTTGAGGCTATCGGGCTATATTCTTATGTCTCTTATTCTTAGTTCTCGGTAGCTCTAGCCGCACACATATATAACCCTAGCTCTCCTAAACACATGCACGTGGAAAGAGTGAAAACTACAAAGTGATCCCTAAATTAAACAGACCAGCATTTAGAGATCACTACAATTAATATGATTTTTCTACGAAAATAAATTATACTTCGATTTACAACAGTTGAGTTATGCTCCATTAAAAAGGGAGGGAAGTATTATGCATATATCCAGTTAATACACCTAATATGCTATCGTTTTTAATGGTAATATTTTTTTTTATTTCTGAGTGATATCAATGGAGGAAAATAGTTAAACTTACAATTCTACCCAGGACCCCTAAAAGACTCTAAAGAAGTCACCCAAAAAGATTCTACCCATGACCCCTAAGTGATATTAATGGTAATATATTGCGGCCAACAATTTGAGTTTGTTTGGATAATTGGAGTTTAAATCTCTACATTATAAACAATCAAAAGATTTTAACTCTTCGGATTGTTGAATTTTTTTAAAATCATTGTTTGGTAACTGCGACTATTAATATTCCACATAATTAAATAAAAATTTTACTTTTCTTATTAAATGACAAGTTTACCCTTAATCAAACGAATCAGTGGACTGAAAATGTTGAAAATTCATTGGTAACAGTGTTTAGTGGGATAAATAAATAAAATAGAAGTAAAATAGAAGACAAAATATCGAATATCAAGATATAGAAGGAGAACATCAAGATTCATGGACTAGAAGTTGCAACTTGCAAGATAAGCGAGGTCTTCTTCATTATGATCTTATTTACCTATTAGACTTTCAATTTGTTTAGAAAGAACAGAGTGGGTTCTGAAAGTTTGGGGACTTGGTGGATGTTGGGATAGCGAAGGAGTCAGAGAAAGGTGAAGAAGGTCAAACCTCAAAATCGGAGGCAGAGCGCTTCCGCGCGGCAGGTTGGGACTAATTACCACTTTTTTAGTGTGATAACAGAATCTCCTGAATCTTTCCAGATTACAGATCTGAAACCAATTCTCGTCGGTTATTGCGATGATGTTATCCCATTATTGGGTTTGGCCTGCTTTATGCGGCAATAAGAACTCTTACATACAAGGGGGGAAATCCTCAAATGCCTAAGTTTCAAAATAAAATTCCCATAATACCATACTTTAAAAAAAAATTCCCAAAATGCCCAAGTTTGAAAGGTTCGTTGCATTAACAAGCGAACCAGTAAGGAATTCGCCCGGACAAGCGAACCACAATAAGTTCGCTTACAGAAGGGGCAAGCCACGTGGCTCTGGGGTAGGCCGAAACCAAATGACGTGGATCGCATCAAAGATGGACCACACATGGAGGGCATCGCACGGTCTCCAAGCGAACCACGACGATTGGCGTCAAAGGGAGGGCGCGGATCTCTGAGTTGGCACGCGCACAACCGTTGGATCATCGTTCAGCCGCGCGATCAACTTGGTTCGCTCCTCTATCTAGCAAACCACTTCAATCCAACACAACTATAAATAACCCCCCCCCCCCCATCACAAACCACACCACTCCTCCTTCTCTTATCCCTCTTCTTTCCACCACTAAAGGAAAGGAAAATGCTCTGAGGCTGCGACTTATGTTGATCTTCATGTTGTTGTTATCTGATTCAACTATAGCAAATGCAAGCGGAAAGACTTGTCTGATGCCATCAACACTTGTGGCGATCAGTAGAGTACCCCTGTATTTTTCCGTCAGAAAGGTCTCATCTACTTGAATTACCAGCAAGCAGTGTTCGAAACGATCAATGCATGGTTTGAATGCCCAAAACAGTTGATCAAACACTCATTTTCTCCCTTGTATATAATCTTCATATTTTGGCACGAAAACACTACTAGGATTTTTGTCAACAAATGCTAGTATCAGGCATGGTAGGTAAGCATACGAACCGACCTAATCACCATAGACCTCCGCCATTGCCTTTTGCTACTCATACCATGCTTTATTGTACCTGATGGTGTAGCCATGACAATTCTTCACCTCTGCAATGACAATTCTTTCAACGCATCCATAACATTTGGCTTTCCTCCAAATGTTTTCCCAACCACTAAACCTGCATCAGGACTCCATATGGGTACAGGATGATAGTCCGAATCGTCGTTCTGAGCATAGAGATGATGTTGTGGCACCACCGTGTAGTGAGGTGGGGGAGGCTCGAATGCCCCCTCATCGAAATCATCATCATCACCTTCATCATCTTCACTACTCACAGACGCCAAATCTTCCATGTTAGTTTCCTCACTTGTGGGGGAGGAGTTTCCTTATCCCCACAATGATCATCATTCCTAGCTGATTCTTGTGTGGATGATCCTATGTTGGCCCATTCTTCAACCCATGTTGGCCATTAGGGGTGGACATTCGGTTGATTCGGTTTCGACCGAACAGAAATTATGAATACCGGGTCCCCAAATTCTCCCAAATCTCGAACCGAATTATAATTTGATTCGGTCGATTTAAACCGAATTATAATTTGGTTCGGTTCAATTTTTCACACAAAACCGAATTAGTGAAACTACTTGTATTTTCTCACTTTTTAATTATTTTTCACCCCTAATATAAACAATAAATATCAATTATATGCATCATGAATGATAAAACCAAACTTTTCAACACATAAGTCATAAAATATTTCAAATATTTAAGTCTAAAAACAACTACAAACATAAAAATCCACCATTTGGAGCTTGCAATTATAGTATTTCGGTTTTTCGCTCGGAAATTCAGTTCGGTTGAAAGAACCCTGATTTCTGAACTATCCATATTTTCCTTCCGAACCGAATAGCATTAATTCGGTTTCGGTTCGGGTTTACCGAACCGTTTGCCCACCCATACTGGCCATTATTGTCCATCATCTTCAACGGGTGCAACATGAACTTCATCTCTTGGCCATGGTACGCCATCCGAACCTCCATAGCTACCTGAACCTCCAACTCCACCAGAACCTTCACAATGTTCGGTATTAGCACCGCCACCATACTCGCCAACCACTTCCGTCTCAATATACACCTCGATAACTGGAAAACTGTTTTCATGTACGAAATCCAGTAGCATATTAATTCCATCATCATCAGACAAGATTGATTCTTCGTACACCATTACATATACGTCGTAAACCGGCATCTGAT